TTCTATTGTTTCTTATATACCGTCATTCTCTCTCTCTCTCTCTTTCAGTAAAATGCAAATTCAGAGCTCACGTGTGTGACTGGTACCAGGTACCTTATATTTGAAGCACGCGAAAATGCTAGTGATTATAACATACGATGTATATCACTAAACTATAGCCATTTCTTTTAGGAAAAAAGAGAGAAATAGGTTAAGATTTGAGATGAATTAAAATTAATAGGTCAATAGTTTATATAAGTTAATAAATAGACTAAATTATTATTTTCGTTCACAACTTGTCTGGTTATGAACCATAACTTGACAAGTTATTATCCATAAATTACGGTTTTTTATCCATAACTTGTATAGTTATGAACCATAACTTGATAAGTTTGTCCATAACTTATATGGTTATGAATCATAACTTGACAAGTTATGATCTATTAATTTCTATAACTAAAAGTTGGCCTATATACTTTCTTAAGCTTTTCATATTGACTTATTTTCTACTATTTCCGTTTCTTTTACTAGTATTAATATAATACATTTGTATTTACTATTTATCAATTGGTATTGCTTATTTTAATTATTTGTCTATCCTTATCGTCATTAGTTTTTGTATATAATAAAGTTAAACACTTGTCGTCTAAGAGGGAAGAAAATCACACATGCATAGTATGATGAAATTCATGTCGTTTGGGATACTATCAAAACGACATGTTGTGTTCCTTAGAGGAACTTGTCGTTTCTCTTGACTCCTAACTACACTTCCACAAAGGAAGTATTATTTCCCATAAAACGACATCTCATTTACAAAATTTCAAGAAATGAGGCTATCTCTTAAAACCGGCATATGGTTTATGAAAGCGTAATATGCGTTTGTGTTTCTATTTAATGATGAAAATGCTATTTTTATGCTTAATAACGAATAGAAAATATCATGCCGGTTAATATATCTAATGGGGAACATCTTTCGGTATCTTAATCAAACAACTTGTCGTGTATATATAGAAAGAACAAATAGTTTACCTACCGAACGCCATGTCGTTTGTGAACTAGTCTCGACCAGAAATCTCGCAACCGCCGAGACAAGGCCATTCAGGTTAATCTAATTACATGGTTCTTGGTTTGTGATTTTGAGATTGTTTTTGTAGAGAATTTTTTAGGCCTCGTTCACTTCGTAGATTCGAGTTTTCAATTCGAACTGAGATGTTACATTTTGTGAGAACTTTTTACTGTAGCAGAAAAAAATTAGATGTGATATTTTTTGAGAGCTTTTTACTGCATTGAAAACTCAAATCGGTGAAATGAACGAGGCCTTAATCTCCGGATTGGGTAGTTCTCGGTTGGCGACCGTCGAGTTTGTGACTAGATTTGAGATTGTGATTTAGTGTAGATATGAGATTTGGGTTTAGGTTTTGTAATTGGTTTTTTCTTTTGTTTAAAAACTTTTTTGCAAATCAGTTTGAATCTGATTTTGTGATTGTGTTGATGTCAGGACTGTTCGTCAGTTTAAAACTGACAGTTTGGTGACTGAATCAACCATGTTAGTTTTTAAAAAATTAAAACCGAAACCGAACCGAAAAGGACAGACTTCACTCGGTTAACTGCTTGAACCATGACTAGTTTTCAGTGGTCGGTTCCCACCAAAACTGAAGTTTATTAAAAAATTTTAAAATATATTTTTTCTTCATCAATTTCAACTATTAATATAGCCAAAATTAAGAGAAAAAAAAACTTTTGTCCCATCCAAAAATAAGGCATACAAAATAATAAGTGTGAGTCTAAAAAAGGACTCACACCCTTTATATAGAATAGTTGATGTAGTATTTTTTCATTTCTTCTCTATGTGAGACTCTTGCAACTTTACTTGTTAGTTGTCAAAGTCTGAAAAGCGTAAAATATTAATAAATATTATTGAGACCACAAAAATACTAATGAGGATAATGTGGTTTAGTGGTTAGTTAATGCTGTTCTACCCTCTAGTTTGAAGGTTCAAACCTCCACCTATACAAAACTCTATATTTTTAAGTGTATAATATTAGTAGGTCGGTTTGGTTTAATCGACGACCTTGGCCACCGGAACCAACAGTCGACCGCCCATGTGTGGTGGTCGGTCGGTTAACCGACATCCGGTAATCAGTTTCGCTTTCTATCAGTTTTCTTCGGTCGGTATCAGTTTCGCAGTTATTTTGAACAACCCTAGTTTATGATTGTGTTTGTGATTGAGATTTGAGAATTTGTGGAATTTTTGTGCAGTTTAGTTTTGCATTTTATCTGTGTTTGTGTTTAGAATGTGGTAAATATTGTATTTACTCGTAAATATTACAATTTAGTAAATATTTCCTAAGTGGCGAGACACATCTCCGCCCTAGATCTCATCACCCTTGCGAACTAGTCTCGACTAGAGATCTCGCAACCGCCGTGACAAGGCCACTCAGGTGAATCTAATTACATGGTTCTTAGTTTGTGATTTTGGGATTGTTTTTGTGTTTTTGTAGACATTTTTTATTCTTCGGATTGGGTGGTTCTCAGTTTGCGACCGTCGAGTTTGTGACTAGATTTGAGATTGTGTTTTAGTGTAGATATGAGATTTGGGTTTAGGTTTTATAATTGGTTTTTTCGTTTGTTTAAAAACTTTTTTGCATATCAGTTTGAATCTGATTTTGTAATATGTGTTTATGATTGTGTTTGTGATTGAGATTCGAGAATTTGTGGAATTTTTGTGAAGTTTAGTTTTGCATTTTGTCTGTTTTTGTGTTTAGAATCTGGTAAATATTGTATTTACTGGTGAATACTTTATTAATTAAAAATTTGAATACTCATAAGTACTGTATTTACCTGTAAATATTTTAGTAAGTTTGAATCTAGTAAATATTATATTGTAAATACTTTAGTAATTATGATTTTGAATATGATAAATACTGTATTTACTAATAAATACTTTAATAACTATGAATTTGAATACAATAAATATTGTATTTACCTATAAATACTTTAGTAGTAATTTGGGATATGCATTATTTAACGATAAATACAATATTTACTGCTAAATACAGTGTTGAACTATTATCGGGGTTGGTGGTCGGATTTTTAGATAAATATAATATTTACGGGTAAATACGGTATTTATCGGTAAAGATAAACTATCGCCGGAGTCAGTGGCTGGATTTTTAGATAAGTATAATATTTACTAGTAAATACGGTATTTACCAGTCGCCTGAAAACAATCATCAAAAAAATGATCGCCAGAGCCACCGGAGTTTGTCGGTGGAGCCGGCCGCTCGAAATAGTCACTGGTCGCTAGTGCCGGCCATGGTGAACTTAAGTAAAAGGAGAAGAAGAGAGAGGTTGAAATAAGACTTACGGGTATTTTTGAGTTTTTAATAATGTTTAAAACTTAAAATATCAAATTATTCTATAATCCACTACTTTAAAAAAATATGCTATAATTTACTAATTACTCTACCAATTATGCTTTTTCACTCATTCTCCCTCTTTTCTTTATGATCTATAGTGGTCGAATGACATTCGTATCTATAAACCGGCACGTCGTTTATCACATGGCAACGACACCGCTTTTTACAAAAATGACAGTCGTTTTATATGTAAACGTTATGTTTAATATATTTACAATGTGTGCGGTTTTTGTTTTGTTTTGTTTTTGTTTTTTTTTAAAGTGCGTAATGAAAGGCGGGAATGGTTAAAAAAAAAAATTACATCTTTTAGATCTTATAGTGTAACAAGTTAATAGCCACTACAAAAAAAAAGACTATTAGCGACGATAAAAAGTTGTTGCTAAAAATACAAAGTTGTCGCAAATAAATTTTTTGCGACCACTTGTCGTCACAAACCTGTCACTGTAATTGATTCGTCACAAAAAATAATTTTACGACGACAAATAGTCGTCACAATTATGTTTGCGATGACAATCGTCGCAAAATGTCGTTACAATTATTTTGTCAGTTACATCGTTAAGATGACATGACATTCAGTATTTACGATGACATTTTACGAATTATGTCGTCACAAAAGATGCAGAATTAGTTGACGTGACTTATATTTTTTGCAACCACATTTGTCGTCGCAAATAATATTTTAATTTTTTATTTATATTTTCTCATTTTAATAATTAATGTTGTAGATTTCTATATATTTAAACCCAATATTAAATATAATTCATGATATTATAATAATAAGGAAGAATTAAATAAAAGGAAATAAATAATAAAAAATAGAAGTAAAAATTATTATTGTAAAAAGTAATTAATAAAATAACAGTCGTCCTGAAAAGAATTTTCTGGAAGTATTTTTTGTGACGACTTTGCAATATGTCGTCGCAAAAAACAAAAAAATATCTAGAACCTATTCGCGGGAAACCAAAAAATTTTTCACTTCTTTTTGGCCACGTCATTGCCAGCTGTAAGTATCCATATTTGCGACGACATGTTGTCGCAAATAATAGACAAACTGGCACCAAAATTGTTGGCGCCAGATTGGTTTTGGAGCCAACGGATATTAGCAACGACATGTGGTCGGGAATAATTTATCAAATTTTAGCGACGATATGGCGTCGCAAATAGTGAAATTTTGTGCGACGACAAATAGTGAATGCGACGACAAGTCGTTCAAAAATCTTATTTTCTTTTTGGCGACGACATGTCGTCACAAATATTGTAATTTTAGCAACGATAGATGTCGTCGCTAATAACTCTTTTTGTTGTTGCAGTGTGGAAGTGTTTTTTAAAAGAATATAGGAAGCATGTAAACCTTATAAAGAGACAAGAACGCTCATGAAGGGGTTTATATAATAGGTTATAGATTAAATAAGCTCTTAAACTTTCTAGGCAAATTAAGAAGTGGATATTCTTTACAGTCTCAATCATGGTTTCAGTTTCGTCTACCTCCACTCTAAAATCTTGTTTCAACTAAATCTTCATCCTTTTTTTTTCTTTTGGTTTGACTAGTATGATCAATCCATACAACAATATTAGCATTAAATGCATTTTAGGTTGCTCTAAAGTCCAAGGACTGATGAAATAGAGAAGTATTGGGAGAGGTCAGAGAACTACAAGGCCTATGTTGAGTCTTTAGAAATTGGAATAGGAGAGCGCCTCCCACAGCTCCAATTGTTGGAGCTGTGATGTATATCCATATGTCATTAAAATTCCACGAAACAATTGCAGCTCCCATTGACCTCGCGGGGTTCATTGACCCGCCCGAAACAGGCCTACAATACACATATTTGCCATAACGTGTCAGTATTATCAATGTTCGACTAAATTACCACGAACACTTCTATTCAACCTCACTACTCACACAAGGCAGGTCCCACTAGGTGGGTAGTGGGACCCGCCTTTTATGAGTAATGGAGATTTATCCCGCGATGAATGCCATTTTTCATTACAACACGTAGAGAATAATATTGGAGTTTTTGTGCTTACCCTGTTATTAACACGGCTAGTCCAATAGCACTACCAACAACAAAACCAGCCAAATGTCCTACCTGAGAAAAAAAGAAAAAGAAGAAATTAGACCTATGTTAAATAAACTTATAATGATCATATAACAAAGAACGTACAAATTTAGAGATGTTTACTTACGGATTGAGCCTGATGAGTCAATGAGGCTACCAAGAACATTATAACAAAGGTTGCTATGAGCTCTACCCAGAATGCTGAAGCGCAGCCTTGTAGCGGTCGGGTAAGCACAAGATCTGATTTCAAGTTATAAATAAACTTCCCAGCATATGTTGCCGTTGTCGAACCAAATGTTTGCGCAAATATGTAAAGGGGGACCTTCGGAAAAAATAAGGATGTGATCACACCAGTTTTTTTTTTTTGTGCTTAAAAGCATTCAAAAAATGATTAGAGAAAGAATAGTTTTAAGTACCCTGGGCCAAGGAAAATGGCCAAAGATTGCGAAAGCTAATGTGACAGCAGGGTTGACATGTGCACCAGAAATAGACCCTATTGAGAAGATCACAACTATTACTGTTAAGCCTGCCGTGGCAGCATATTCTAGGAGACCGACTTCTCCACTCGTCGTCTGCGTGCTTGCTATGATCCCGCATATGCAGAACATCAAGATGAAAGTCCCCACTGCCTCTGCCACAACCTGCATATGGTAAATGGAACCGCATTGCTTGGACTACAACAGGAAACTAGAGGGTAAGAATTCCAAGAGTTACGATTTCATCGAAAACCAGACACGGTCTTTTACTAACGTTTTGTCCAACTCTTATGAAAGATCATGCTCCAAAAATTCTGGTTTTGATGCTAGCAGATTGGAATGTAGGGCGTTTTTTCGGTTTCCGCAAATTTAAAACCTTTAACTGAAATCATAGTTTGGTTTTAAGAAGAACAAAGAGAGTTCAATATGAATGTTGACTCAAGAATTCTTTGACAGATTTGTTGATATAGTGATCGTTTTCAAGTGTAAATGCATGTACTATTTGCATATCGAATTGATACATTCTAGTCAATTACAAGATGCCTAGTCTAATGTTAATTAATTACCCCCAAGAAAACAAGCATAGTCTAATGGTTAAGATTAGGCCTCAAATCGTGCATATTAGAGAATTCTTAAGAAAAACCAAGAGGGAACTAAGCTCTTTCAAAGGCTTCCTAAAAGGCCTTAATTAATTAGTTATCGCTTACCGCACGTGCGAAATTTCGATTTATTCCTGCTGAAAAACAGCTAAAGGTTGAACTTTTCAAGACACCAACGCTCTTTGATATTGCATTGGTGCCAATCTCTTGATCATCTTTGGATTCTTCACTTGTTGATGCGTAATTAGACGAATCAGGAGATGGTTGCTCTTCAAACAAGCCCTTCATGATAAATTCCCTGCAGAGACTAAAAGAATCGGACAAAGATTTTTAAAGTGTAAAAGGGTCAAAAATCGGTCTTGAAAAGTTTAGTCAGCTTCAGAAAAGCTCAACAAGTACAAAGAATGTGCAAAATAGAAAAAAGTTTAAATATGGTAAAAAGTTGTTTGTTCCTGGCACGGTTGTGGCACTTGGAAGAGGCTGGTTGAAGTTTCAAAGGAATTAGGCTCGTCAACACAATTCTTGTGTTGCTCTTAAAATGTGGAATAGACTATTTGTGTTTCTTACCTGTTTCAGTTTTAATAAGGTGAACAATTCCGTTCCAAACATTCTCAAATTTTGGTGTCCTTCCTTTCACTTTATTTTCAACTAATGGGGTTCTTTGTTAATTATACATGTTTACTTAATAACACTTCTTCATTTATATATATATACAAAAAGCAGAAGGAAAAGAGCTTCTCGCTAGCGAGATCATACCTCTCAGGATCTGGGACAGTGTAAAATCTCTCCCGGAAGCATAAGCAGGCCTCTTTCTGTTGTGCATTTTTTTTAGAATATTTCTAGTCATATTTTGCTTTGTGATATTCTTTGTACTCACTATGTAGAACAAAATAAGGAAGTGTGAACAAATAATAAATATCAAGGGCTCTTGGATTGTTTGCAATGTTAGTGAAATCTTTTTGTATTTGATCTATTTGTTTCTTTTTTTTTTTTTTTCCTTTTAATCATCAAAACAATAGAGCCCATAATTTCAAAGCTCCATTTTCAACTAACTGATTGTGGGACGATAGATCCCCCAACCCATATAAGTTTCATGTACAAGTATGCACGAGTATGTTAAAAATCCAAGCAAAATAAATAAATAAATAATAATAATAAATAAATAAATAAATAAATAAATAAATAAATAAATAAATAAATAAATAAATAAATATGCCATTTTTAATGCGTCTAAAATATGCCATTTACTACAATTTATGAGAAAAATTATTAGGAGTTTTTAAGGCTGTTTTCTAATGAGTCTTGAATCAGATTTTAAGTTAAGAAGTAATTAAACGAAATGATCATTTTAAACTCCATATTTAGAATATGTTTGTAATTATATAATATTGTCAATCTGTCTAGCTACTTTTAACTTATTTTGTTGTGTTTTTTATTAGTTCTATTTTGTTTTGTTTAATTTATTTTTAACTTAATTAGTAGTGATTTTATTTTATTTTAGTGTATTTTTGTTTAATTTTATTTTTATTCAAATTATTCATAGTAGTTTTATTTGTGTAGTATCAGAAATTTGATGCACAATGGTGTTTAAATAGGTAAAATCGGACCACAAATCAATTCAAAATAAATAAATAGCTTAACATTTTTTTTTCCGCTCTACTAAAATAATTATTTCAAATACATCCCATTTGAAGTTCTTTTTTCCTTTTCCTTTTACTTTCTTTCCTTACCTTTCATTCAATCCTATAAAATATACATATAATAAAAATAGTCATTAAAATATATTTTTTACCCCACTGAAATAATTATTTTAAATACATTCTTATCTTAAGTTTTTTTTTTTTTTTTTTTTTTTTTTTTTTTTTTTTTTTTTTTTTTTTTTTTCAATTAGTATACTTTCTTCCAGTTCGCGTGTGGTTTATTTAAAATAGCAGTTATATAAATTGATCTTTTGAATTTCTGGTAAGGTCCTTTTGCTTTGAATTTTTATTTCCCTTTCTCCTTCACTATTTGGGTTTAACTAGAGCTTACTGCTTTGATCGTTATTTGTATATGTTAGAACTTGCTTGCAACATTTACTTATAATCAAGAAATCTTTGTGTTTCACAGTAGGAAAGCATTTACTTCTACAACAAACAATTATGTTATTCATTACCGAGTCATATACGATCTGAAATCAAATAATCATTGTAATTACCTTTGTTTTTTGTTTGTTTTTTTGTTTTTGCTTTGATCTCAAAGGGTCTCTAGAGTATATTTTCTATTATTTATCTATTTATTTATCTGCTAAAGAGTAGATTTTCTATTAGGTGTCAGAGAAGAATCTTTAGCAACTCCCTTTTAATCTAAATTAGGTTCACACATTGTTTTGGGGCATCTTTCTATATAATGGGGTTGGAATAAAAATCAGGGAATAATGTCATGGGATGCGGTATGGTAGAATTTGATGTAATATTGCCCTTTAGGACTCGTACCGGTAAGCACTAAATCAATAATATCAAATACTTCATATTACCAAACTAACTGTGTAAAAGATTTGCGCTACTCCATAGTATAATGGGGCAGCAAGTTATATTGTGCTGCTTCATGGTACAATCATGCCTAACAAGTTCTCCAAGCATTGTGGTTGCATTATAATGCAACAATGAAAGGTGAGAACAAAGTTATTCAACTAATTGGAAAGTGGTAGTATTATAGTATGGATCAGAGAATAAAAAGCTCTTCCAATTCACTAAGATAAGGGTGGTAAAACAAAAACCATCAAAAACTTAGCATGACAAACAATAAGAGAAGAGGGAGAGTAGAATTATGTAAAACAATAAGTTGGCAACTATGGTGTTTGAATAGCTATAAATAGAGGGGAAGACATGCTAAGAAGGCATGGCATTTGGAACCTTGACAAGTTTCTAAGACATCATAGCATTCTTAGGCCTCGTTCATTTCGCGGATTGGAGTTTTGAATTCGAGCTGAGATGTGACATTTTTTGAGAGCTTTTTACTGTAGCAGAAAAAGTTAGATGTGACATTTTTTGAGAACTTTTTACTGTAGAAACCCAAAACTGAAAAATCGAATTGGTGAAATGAACAAGGACTTAGATTTTACAAGCTTTTGAGACTTCACAACCCTTTGAGATTTCATAAACATCTTCTTAGATTTTACAAGTAACCCACAAGCATCCAAACTTAACATACAATCAGAAAAGCCTCCAAGCAAGAAAACATGAGGATAATTTAAAAAAAAAAATTAAGGAGTTTAGGTAGCCTAAAATAATCAAGAGATAGATGTATGCTCATACAATACTGATTGGTAACATGGAGTAACCATCCCTCATTAATGATTTAGACCGCCGTCGGTTTTGACAATTACATCTTCCCCATACGATTTCATGAGATTGTTTCTGTAAATTGATTGTCCTTCGGTTTCATGATTTAAGTATTCATCGTTAATCTTCCAAGGTAAACACAGGTATTGTATGCTTAATATTTCATTTTCTCTGGTTTATTATATTAGTGTGCGCTATATGTACATTTATATTTATTTATATCTACATAATATGTACGATCTTATTTACAATACATTCTAACCCAGGAACACACATCAAGAACTTTGGGAGGGCAGATTATATTAAAAAACGACATGAAAGCAATTTTTGGCCTTGTCAGATCCAGCAATTTTGGGTTGGTTGGCTATCAACCAGAAAACAGTAAAATGACTAGTTGTTTGCAGTACATATACAAAGATCCATTCAACACAAAATCAAAATACACGTCTTAAGTACTCTATGTTCTTCATTAAAAAGCTTCAAAGATGAGTTGATGCTTCTTTTCCCCGAGAGTTTCCTAAGAACCTTGAAAAAATGGGGAGACTCCATTTTCAACTTCAGAAGCTCTTTCTTCTTTCCTCTCTAGTTTCCTTCAAGCTTTCCTTCTCTCTCTCTCTTTCTCTGTCTCTGTCTCTCTCTGGTGTGAGTCTTGATAAAGCTGATAGCTAAAACTTACTAATTCAAGTTAATATTTATTATTATTATTTGATCCATTTATTAGCAGTTTATATTAACAAAATTAGTTATAGTTGTATGAGGATCACAGCCGTTCATGGACAATCAATAGATAGTGGTCCCCAAAGCTAGTTACTATAAAAAAAGAAAAAAGAAAAAAGAAAAAAAAGGTAGTGGTCTGAAAATTGAGAAGGATGGAAGGGAATGTGTTACAGAGATGAACAGTGCAAAACAACCGTTTTTTTTTTTTTTTTCCAGATTTATGCTATTATGCTCTGTTCCAGATTTATTTTATTTATTATTTTTTTTGTGTGCAGATTCGAAGTTGTAGTAGGACAATGTTACCTGAAAAATATACAGAGATGAACTGTGCCTTTTTTTTTCCTTGTTTTTGCCAGACGTTAAGGTGGCTCAGGGAATGCTACTGGTTTGAGTCTTGAAGCTAAAACTTATATATATATATATATATATATATATCTTGTATATATATATACATGAAGGGTTAACACAATGCGCATTTGATGATCATGTTCTTTTAACACAGTGTTCTTACGTTTTCTTTTCTTTAGTGTTCCAATTTTTTTCTCCTCCTTTTTGGTTTGTTCTTCTAGCAAAGTGCATAAACATGGCACATGAGGATCGTCAAGTGGTGAAATGACATGACCTTATTGTCGTAGGACTACTAGTAATTCCTAGCTACATATTTTTTCAAAACATACCAAATTTTTAGGGAAAATCCAAATGTCCAACTTATCATTTTAATTAGGAGACGTTTAGTTCATGGATTAGAATCATGTGATTAGAATCATTTTCGATTTACGTGTATTTTTTGTGAGAAAAAATACTGTAACGAATCATGAATCATGATTCAAATCATGGTTTGAATCATCCAACTAAACATCCCCTAATTCCGCATTTTTTTTTTTTGGTTATGGATGTGTTGCGTTAAGCGCTATATGTATGCTCTTCACACCACAACCTAGACGTCAAAGGAGGTATATTTTTTTCTGCTTTTTGGGCTAGAGTCATATCCATACTCTTCATTCGTTGCTTTTATTTATTATTTATTTATTATTTCTTTGCATGGGAATTTGATGACCTCAGTGTTAGTTCATGGGGCGGCTTTTTTATCGACTCTACGTACTGCTATATAATATTTCAGTTATAACTTCTATCTCATGTATTGTACTGTGAACCTCTTTTGTTAAGTTTAAGCTCGTGGAAATTTGGTTTTTGGTTTGTTAATTAAACCTTTGGAATTGATAGTAGGGCGTGACTATTACTTTTGGA